CTCAATTTGGGAAAACACTTCAGTTAACAAGTGTTCCTTTGTTAGTGGCAGGATAATTTATAAAAGGTAAGTATACTTAAGTCCTAAGAGAATATTAATTTTAGAGTCTGGCTTGACTGATGATCTCAGGTCCATCTTGCTTTTCACATTAAATTTTTAGTGATGGCTGAAGCTCAGGTGGTAGAGCAGGCTCCGTACTAGTTGGAATTTTGGGGTTCAAACCCTGTCGAGTTCGAGTTTGTATGCCAAATATCCTTGGGCAAGAATGCTAACCCTAAAGTAATCTATGATGCATCCAGTGGAGTGTGAATGTTAGAAAGCACTTATGGAGACATAGGAAATGTGCTTTGAGTCTCCAGGAGAGTAGCAAGTGCTACATAAGACCAGTGCCCACTCACATCCTGGGCCATTTGACCTAAGGCTATGTCCACACGAATGCGTTTTCAAACGAAAATGCATCGTTTTCCAGACTGAGCCGGCATTTTCCTCAAGGAAAAACACAGTGTTTTGGAAACGCTCTCGAAAATGGATACATTTCAACTGGAGGTGTCCTGTCGCAGTGTGGGCGCTGGAAAACGCAGACTTTCTAAAACGATGACGCATTTTAGTCATGTGATGCAGTCATGTGACCAATTGAACAAAGGGCATATACAGCAGTTGTTTTGATTGCTCTCAATTTTAACAGCCCTATTAAAGATTAATATCAGTATTTACATGCTCCAGATAGCTTTTCTTCAAATTGTTTAATTCTCACTTGCTTTTGTGCTTGAATATAGGCGTTTTTGGCCATTTCAATGTGGATGCACAAACTCTTTGAAAACTACTGAAAACGGTAGTGTGGACACAGAGCGTTGCTATATGTGGAAGGAAATCGTAACCTAGGACAAGCTGATGGCATAAAATGTAAGCACAACTCCTCCGGTTTCATATGCAAAAAAAAAAATTGCGGTAGCTTACGTGTTTCCAGTTCTACAGGGATTTAAAAATAGTTAAGCAAAATGGAGCGTGCCCCACTCTGACCAATTTAAGATGGTTAAAGTGTCTGGGAAGGAATCTCAAAATTGGATTATAGATGGCAGACAGTTGGTGTCATAAACCACCACCTCTGTTCAAGGATGATCATCCACAGTGGACAAAGATGAATTCTTTCATTACTCATCTGTCTTCTCTGTCCAAATGCGAACATTGGCATCCTCAAAAGAGTGACCTTTGTTGTTCAGATGCAGAGGAACATCTTGAACATCTTGCCTGTCGACGTGACTCTTCTATGTTGTCCCATGTGTTTATGAAGTGGCTGTAGAGATCAAAGAGTTAGGGTTGATGGTATTCACATTTTGGACAGAGAAGACAGAGATGGTTTGAAAGAGGAGTGAAAGAAGCCATCAATGTCCACTGAATGACCAATAAACAGGGGTGGTGTTGGCTACCTACAATGCAATCTTGAGATCCCTTTCTAGTCCAGTCACCTTCATTCAAGCTCTTAAAGATCTCTTCATCAAATATTTCTAGTTTTTGGGTCAGCAATTTAAGGATGCACTCTTTTCCTTCATGTTTGTCCTTAATCAAGTTAGAGCCTAATGTGTATTACACCCCTTGACTCTCCAGGCTTGACCAAACACCAATATCACACTGCTATGTGCTTCAGAGCCTATTAATGACCTTTCCTTTACTCCTTCAATGCAGTACGACTTTGGGGCCTGGATGCCCAATAGTCCTGTCACCTTGCAGCTTCCCCCACCAACTAAAAAGGGGAAAGCAAGTGAAAAAAGCATGATAGATACATTCCCCAATATTCAAACAACAGTTCATGGCATGGCCGTCATGTGGCTACTCAGCAAGCAGTCCTCTGACTCTGTAAGTGTTCAAGTTATGTAATGTACATCAAAATGTCAAATTCAAAAGTCATACAACTATGCATTTTGAGTGGAAGAAGCAAAACATGCCAGTGATCTCATATCTATCTCATCAGATCTTTCTTGGCCAGTACCCAGAGGAGCATTTCACTGAGGAGGTTCCCTGCCAAAAAATAAAGGATTTCCAAGTAGAGCTCAAAAGGCTGAGTGCAGAGATCAAAGCCAGAAACTCAGTGTTGGACCTGCCATACACATACTTGGATCCTGACGTGACTGAAAACAGTGTGTCCATTTGAATATTAGAAGGCAGCTTCTCTTCCTTTAGTTCAGTAACAAAAACAGAAAAGAAAGTGAAGTTTGAGCTCTGCCTGAAACTCATTCTATTGATTAACTTTAGTTTACCAGCAATTTCTAAAATATTCTTCTGAGTTAATACAATGACCAGGTTTTATGTTTCAGGTTTTATGTTTCATAATTAGAAAATATATCAGTGGAAAGAGTGTTTCTGATTTATAATGATTTCTACTTTTTTAATCATAATTTTAAAGCTGTTTCTCTCTTTGATAATGAAAAGGTAAATACGTAGATAGAAGCTGCTAGGGTGAGAAGGGCTTTAAGAATAAGGTCTCCTTTGCACTTCTCTGGTTTTTAATTCTCAATTTTGTTTCAATACAAGCTTTATATAATCAATATTTTTGTCTTATTGCAGTGTATTGCATGAATCCATAAAAAGTGTACCTACTTTGAAATAGGAAAATTAATAGCTATCTATATCATTTTTAGAGATCATAGAGATTTAACACAGATATAGACAGACATGAATGCATAACTTTATGATGTTTCATTTAAAATTCTTAGAAATTTCTGCCTGTGAATACATGATTTAAAGGGTGAAGAAGGAGCTTACTATGTTATTTTTCTGTGTGAACTATACTTAGGCCCTGTTTATATCAACTGATTTTTAAGCTTGCCTGACATAAATGATGATAATTTGATCTCTTTCTGAACTGTTTTCTGTATGTAAAAGATGGAATATAAACACTGACCCAGTCAAAATCCTCGTTTTATTGCAGATTGCTTTTGTCATATTTAGATGAAGGCGTGGAGTCCTAAGATATTAGTAAATACTAGCAGTAAGGACGAAATTAATAAGAATTTAGCGATTCTGATTCCATTATTGATATCATTTATCGACTGGATTCCTTATTGATTCTCACTGACTCCACTTTGAGAGTCACCACCACCACTAAGCAGAATATCAAAGACATTACTTACATTCATGCAAATTAATTCTGTGTGGTCAAATATTTGTGCATGTTGGAGGTATGTCCCTCTTTGTTGCGATCAGTGTTGGGACATTACTCAGTAAAGTAAAAAGGTTCCTACACAAAACATTTTTCTTAAAAGTAATGCACTTAATTACACCCAGGAGAAAGACATTCATTATACTACCTGTTACATTACTTTCATATTGCTTAAAAAAAACAAAAAACCTGAACCACACTCATAATTACTATTTGACAGTATATACCTGAGGCTCCAGCCCCACACAACAACACAAATCCCTATAATAATGAGGACACACATGATTTTTCTCTTAGTACTTAGGTATGAAAACAAAGCCGACAACACTGTATTCAACACTGTATTAACTGTATTCTAGATATAAAATGGCAGAAAACTTTTTGCAGCTTAACCAGGGCAAAAGCTGAAATTTTAATCATCGGTCCTGAGGCTCAGAAAGAGAAACTCTTGTCTAAATTACAGGCATTTTCACTATGTCCTTCACTACAAGTGAAAATGCCTGGGTGTTATTTTCGACTCTGAGCTTGGTTTTATCCCACATATTAAACATGTAACCAAATTTGGATTTATCATCTAAAAAATATAGCCAGAGTCCACCCTATTCTCTCTCGGGCCAACACGGAGATGCTGATGCATGCTTTTATTACCAGTCGCATTGATTACTGTAATGCCCTGCTCTCTGGTCTTCCCAAAAAGAATATTTCACCTTTACAACTTTTACAAAACAAAATAATTCTGGGTTCTTGGCTAACTTAGCATTAGCAAGTGGAGGCGAGAAGCCAAAGTTGTGTTAACAGTATACTGCAGTTGTTTCTGTCCTGGAGCAGTCTCCACTTCATACTCTCATCCTTTTGTGCAATAAAAATAAAAGTATTGTCCATATCCACAAGCTAAAATATCCAAAGGCCACACAGGTTTGTTTGTTTGTTTGTTTGCTTGCTTGCTTGCTTGCTTGCTTGCTTGTTTGTTTGTTTGTTTGTTTGTTTGTTTGTTTGTTTGTTTGTTTGTTTAAACATGTCCTGCCAGTTGTAACAGGCAAAATTATGGTCTGAATGTTTTGTTGTGCCAGACATATTTGGTTTCCCTAGAGGAGCACCGTATACTTTCTGTAGACAAATATACAATTTTGCTGTGTGTGTGTGTGTGTGTGTGTGTGAGAGAGAGAGAGAGAGAGAGAGAGAGAGAGAGAGAGAGTGTTACAGACAGAGAGAGAGAGAGGATGTGTGTGAGTGTTAGTAGCAGAATGTACTAAAGGAGACGCCGGCCGCCCACAGCAACCAAGAGAGCTGAATAGCCACTACAATATTCTCCTGAACGATAGGTGTTGCCACTCAGAGAGTACCACCACATAAGCGCTGATATAGCAGGAGAAGAATCTTTTTTTCCTCTTTTCATCTCCCTTTGTATATTTTAATATTTCTCAGCTTCTGGAATGTCATTAAAATGGCTATAAAAACTGACATGATCACACCATAGGATGTGACATCATCTTCGCCATGCTGTGCTGTCCAACAGGGGCTCAGAGGTGAGAAATACACAGGCCTTGAAAGTACATGCACGCTCTTATATAACACATGCATGTGTACACACACACTTAGTAAGAATAGGACAGTTTTCTGATAGATATACTTTCACAATAGACACGAATAGATATACACACCACACACACTGGTTTTCTCTGAGTGCTGGGCTGAGTGGAAACATCTGGAGGCCTTATAAGGAGAACTTGTGGAGTGAGGGGAACTTCCTGAGTTCTGAGAACTGACTGATACTTATCAGGTGACTTGACGTCATCATTGTAATAAAAGCTTTGTGAGATGCTTGCTCGGGGAGATCGGCTCTAAAAGGCTTGTGATGCTCATCTTCCCATATGTACATATGTATAATAAAAATCACTATTCTGACATCTACTGAGACCATGCAGTCGTTTGTCTCTTCCTCAAATTCGAACCCTGACACCTACAAGGCTGCCACCTGAACTGTGTAGCATCATTTTCACCCGCGATAGCTCTGGCAAAACAATCACTCTATAATAGAAAATGGCAACCAGAACCCAGGCCCCAGGAAATCTCTGGGAGAAAAGTTCCACCCCTAGCTGCTCTTTTCCAGAGAGGACAATGCAGGCAAGACAGCAGATCTGAGAACAGACCGCTGCAGGTTGTAGACTCTTAATTTTAAGTGTGGCCAGAATGCCAAAAGGCATCAACACCAGCTGCCACTGGAGACAGAGTGCTAAAAATAAAATAGTCCTATTATTCTGCATTTAATGATTGCAACTGTAGGAATGATGTTTCCTACACAGCAGCTGGAATTAAGAGGCGGTTACACTATAAACCAAAGTGTGGGTAACCTACAATAAGGTGCAGACATGCAGCTTACCTGTAGCTGTTGTGAAACACAATCAAACCACCTGAGTTTACCACCACAAACTACTGACAGCTAACATCATCCTCCAGAGAAGGAGAGAGAAGAATCAAAGCAGAGAGCACAACCCACCCAACCACACTTATAATTCAGTGTAATTCATTTCAATGAAACCTCAGCAGAGGGTTGCTGAGCTAATGAACAATCTTTAGGGTGGATTCACTTGATTTGTGTGTGTTGCAGAATGTGGCATGGTGGAAAATTGAGAAAATCCCCCACTAAGCATTGGGTTGGTATTATTTTTCATTTTAATAATCGCATGCTGTAGTGTTTTTGTGTGAGCTATGAGGTGTGGGCCACAACCATGTGGAGTGGAGATTCTACTCTAGTCCAGCTGCCAGCTCTTTGGAGTGCACTGTTACAGCATGGAAGCCAGTTGACATGAGACATGAGAAAAGTGCACATTTCAAAGGAAATTATTTTTAACCTAACCTGGAAGTTTTTGCTTTTAAAATAATCAAATGACACTGGAGGGAGGACTCGTTTTAATCAGGATTCCTGTGGATTTGCTGTGATAAAATTACTGGAGTGGAGATGCTCGGTGTGCTGAGTTCATGGAGGAATAGCCTACTCTGGAATTAAAAAGTAACCAATGAGAGGAAGTTGGTAAAGACTTCAGCTCTCAAACTTCTGAAGTTTGAGAGCTGAAGTCCCAGGATCTGGTGTGGAAACCTACTCCTTAATAACAGAAGCCCTGATAAGGTGGATGGAAAGCCTTTCTCAGAAAAATGCAAGATTGATATGTGTTTGGCTGCTCTTTCCCTTGACGTACCACTTTTTCCTGTGTGTAGCCAGTCTAACATTTCTAACCATGGCAGCTTTGGGCCTTTGATTGCAGTCCAGAACTTTGTCTTCAGCCACTAGTCTGCTTTAGAGGAAAAATAAATCTTGCGTTACTCCATTTTCAGTGTGTGTGGTGGTTTCCTACTGGTCACTATTAGAACTTAACACATTCTTGTAAGGAGGCTGTGGCGGAGGTGTGGCCCTGGGCGCGGCTGCAGGGAAGGAGTGGTGCAGTGAGCTCAACAGGGTGGTGCTGGAGAGGCAGGTGAGAACACAGTTGATGGAGTTTGGGCTGATGACGGTTTCCTTCTCCTTTTTTGTGAGACGGGAGAGGAGCGGAGGGGAAGTGGGGATCAGCTGAGACGGGAGCTGTCCAGACGGTGGACTGTCAAAACGAATAAAAACTCAGAATAAACGTTGCATCTGGCAGTAACAAACTGTGTTTGTGTGTGTGTGTGTGTGTGTGTGTGTACGTGGGTGAAGTGCATCTCACAGAGGCCATTTTGTGGCATACATAACATGTGTTCATGCATCATTACAATGACAACAAATCTTTTGATCTTGCTTGCTTACTATGCTTAAAACTGATTCTCAGTCTGGGACTTTATTTATTGTAAACATCACTCTGAGGGGAAAAAATGTGCTGGACTGAATCTCTTTGTGAATTCAGAGTTTAAAAAAGCCCCTGGCTGGGCCTTGGGGGCTTTGGTCTTGGTTGGTGTGTTGCCGGGGTTGTAGGCGGGTGGGTGTATGGGGGCCCAGCCCTGGCGCAGGGTGCCGCCGGTGCGTCGAGCCACCTGGGGGGCTCTTCAACTGGTGAGGGAGGTTGTCACATCTTGCAGGAGCTTTCCTCTCTTCAGGAACTCTCTCTGCAGGAGGGGGAGATACAGGAGAGGTTGAGGAAGATCTCAGCCTGGGCGTCTATTGTCTTATGTAGTCTGGAAGATGAGTGGATGATGGGGTGGGTGCAGTTTTCTCTGTGGTGGGGTTGGGTGGACTGTCCCGGGCTCTGTGGGGCCGGGAGGCGCTGCTGCACTGGCCCAGGCCCATCTGGCGGGTCGCGGAGTATGGGGG